GACCAGAAGCGGTTGGGATATGGGTAGTGTGGAACTCAGTAAGATCTGAGCTGAAGAGGTAAGCTTGGAAAACATTAGCAAATGGGTGGTAACTGAAGGCATGTGGGAGTAAATGAGATCATCCAGGGCAAGTGTATAGTGTAAGAAGAGTAAAGGTTGAGGACAAAACTCCAGGGAATACCAGTACTTAAAGGGTTGCTGAAAGAAAGGAGTCCCAAAGGGACTGAAAAGGGGATGCCAGAAAAGTAGGAGGAAAAACTAGGAGAGAGTGCCATCAGGGATGCCAAAAATTTGACCAATTTAGGAGATAGGGTATGGCCAACAGTGTCAAATGTTGCAGAGACTGTAGTTCATTTGATTTGGCAACACAAAAGTATTGGTGAACAACTGCATTGTTGAGAGTTAAAAGATTAAATGGCAAATATGAGAACCGGGCCACAGTTGCCCATGACTTTTCCAAGAAATTTGACTCTGCTAGGGGGAAAAATAGAGTCTTATTTTATTTTATTTATTTTATTTTATTTTATTCTATTTTATTTTGAGACGGAGTCTTGCTCTGTCACCCAGGCTGGAGTGCAATGGCACGATCTCGGCTCACTGCAACCTCCGCCTCCCGGGTTCAACCGATTCTCCTGCCTCAGCCTTCCGAGTAGCTGGGGTTACAGGCATCCTCCACCACGCCTGGCTAATTTTTTTTTTTTTTTTTTTTTGTATTTTTAGTAGAGATGGGGTTTCACCACTGACCTCATGATCCGCCCGCCTCACCTCCCAAAGTGCTGGGATTACAGGCGTGAGCCACTGCGCCCGGCCAAAGAGAGTCCATTTTTAAATGCTAGAGAGGGATAGCAGAGCTGAGTGTTAGAAAACCAGAGCCTCCTGGATTTACCAGGGCTGTGCCATTATTTTCAGAGGCATTCATAGCTAATGACAAAGTAGACAGTGAACTACTACAAGGCAGAACTGGCTGCCTTGCTCATCTCTTGCCCACAATTATCACTTTCCAAACTGATGAGAGACTATTCCTGAGATACTTATGATGGAGGTAGTTGGGAGGTCCTGGTGGGGAAGGATTACATAGAAGGAAGAGTAGTTATAAATGTTTGAACTTGTTACCATTTAAACTGTGATTATAGAAGGGGTGAATGGAGTTAACCACCACTCACCATAGCCTTGGTGAGGGATGGTTATGTTTCTCCTCACCTTGGTCTTGTCTACACTGTGCTCCCTATGGAGAATTTGGACCCCTCTGCCTTGTTCCTCTCACCCAGAGAAATTGCAGTGTCTGTTGTACCTATTCCTATGCCCTTCCACCCAGCCTATTTCTCCTGTTCTTCCCCAGATCTCCTTCCAAATAGACTGGTGTAACTGGCACAAAATGTTTGTTAACTGATTGCCAATCCAATAATAAGGGGACTGAGGTTCTTCTTTGAAGGGTGGGTTTATGTGGGGTTTCCATATCAATTCTGACCACATGTGTAGAGCATCATTCAGCACCCTATGGGCTTTTAGCACAATCTTGCCTACCAGCTGTTTTAAAATGGCCTAAAAGCTAAGAATGGTCTTCACATTTTTAAATGGTTGGGAAAAAAAAAAAAGCAAATGAAGAATATTTCGTGACACATGAAAATTACATGAAATTTGAATTTTAGTGTCCATAAATAAAAAGAGGGCTGAGGACAAAACTCCAGGGAACACCAGTATTTAAAGAGTAGCTGAAAGGAAGGAGTCTATGAAGGAGACTGAGAAGGAGATGCTCAAGAAGTGGGAGGAAAAGCTAGGAGGAAACTAGGAACACAGCCACGCTCCTTCATTTACATATTGTGCATGGAGGCTTTCGTGCCACAGTTGAGTACTCATGACAGAGATCGGATAGCCCACAATGCCTAAAATATTTGCCATCTGGCCCCTTACAGAAAAAGTTTGCTAACCCCTGATTTAGGACTCTAGGTGGCTGTGTCCCATATGTCTCCCCACTGGTAGTCTCATAAACTTCTTTTCTACTGTCCCGAGGGGCCTGAATCTCCCCACTGCCAGAACCACTGATGGGTTAGTCCCTGAATGTTGGGATACTGGGAAATGTTCTTTTGGTTTTTGGAAGGTTACAATGATTTCCAAACTCTAGTCCTTCCCTGGCACCCTGCCTCCACCACACAGACACACACACATGTATACACATGGCTGTTCCAGAATATCTAGGAGGTCATGGAGTTGTTTTTGTTTTTGGCTATTACTGCTACTATTACTTGTTTATCAAAAGAGGGTATGATGCCAGGCACAGTGGCATGTGCCTGTAGTCCCCAGCTACTTGGGAGGCTGAGGCGGGAGGATCGCTTGAACTCAGGGGTTCAAGACTGGAGTGAGTTATGATTGCACCTGTAAGTAGCCACTGCACTCCAGCCTGGGCAACAAGGGAAACTTTGTCTAAAAGAAAAAAAAAATGATGGAAAGTACGAATTTTGAAAGTCTCAGAAACACTGATGGATAATATTCACATATATTAATTTCTCAGATTACTTGATTGCCACATGAGAACTTTCTCACTGCCTCTTCCCCCACCCCTTCTGTCTTTCTCTTTCTTTTGTCTAACAAACTTGAAGCATATACACTGACAGTTTCTTCCTCACCTCCCACTTACTTCTCAGCCCACCACAATCTGGAGTCAACTCCCACTACAACACTGAAACTGCTCTCAATAAATTTGTCAGCCATCTCATAATCACCAAATCTAAGGACACTTTTCAATCCTCCCTTGACTTTTGAGTAGCATTTAGAAATGCTGACCTTGCCCTCCTTTGTGGCACACCTCTTTTTTATTTCTCTGATCTGCTTCTACCTTGTTCTTTTCTCAGTGCTCTGGATGGTCCTCATGCCACCAGATTCTCACAAACCAGGGTATTTCAGTATACTCGTTATTATCTTTTGTCTCAGTGACACACACACCCTCCTCTACTGTGTTCTGAATTGCTCAGCTTAGGAATTAGCCAGGTGTGTATTTCCCAGCCTTCCTGGACATCTGGCTTCCTGTTAGATTCTGCCAGTAGGAGGCACTGGTGGGAGATCAGAAGGCAAGAGAAACTGAGAAGCGTCCTGCTTCAGCCTCTAAACAGAGTGACAGTTGCTGGGAATAGCTGGTGGATGTAGCAGCAGGAAGAATGGGAGACTCAGGACTCCAGCCTCCTGAGCAAAAGAAGTACCTTCTCAAGGATTCTAGCCTTGAAGGAGGTGGCACCTTTTTAGTAGATTGGAACTGACTATGACAATGTCTTTCACAAGGCAATGAGTAGATTTCCAGATTCCAGCTCAGGGATGATGGCAGCTTCTGATTTCCAGATAGCAATCTTTTTTTTAAATTTACATTTCTAGGACGCTCCTTTTTTTTTTTTTAACCTTTGTAACCAATTCTCTATATTAAATTCTTTCAGTCTGAAGCACATAAAGTAGTTAAATGCTCCTGACTGGATCCTGGATAACTGGTATGAAGTTTGGGGTTGAGCCCATGCATACTTTTGTCCTTGTTTCACTTCCCACTCCTTCTGCACAGTTTACTTGGGTGATCTTATTCATGGCCTCTGCTTTGACATTTGTGCTGATGACTCTCAAATCAGGCTCTTCAGACCATACCTGGGGTCCATACCCACATGACTCACTGTGCTCCCGTGCAGTTTTAGCTGGCTGTTCCACTGGCATTTCAAATTCAACATGTACAAAATCAAGCTCTTTCTCTCTGTAAACCTGCTCCCATGGCATTCTTTCCTACTTCAATTCTGTCCATCCCTGACCACCCACCCAGCCACCCATGCTGGAAATCTGAGATATCCTTGATTCCTCCACCTTCTCACTCCCACAACTAATAAGTAGCTAAACCCTTTAGATTCTACTTCCTAATTATCTCGATATTCTATCTCCTCCACCTCCTCTAATTATGACTTAATTCAGGCTCTTATCATCTGTCATTTAAATTATTGCTGTATTGCTACAGGAGTGGTGTGTGTATGTGCAAATGTTCATCTTGGTATGCTATAGACTCTTGCCCAGCAGTTTTGCCTCAATTCTTTAAAAACTCTGGTTCATTGTTTGAAATATCAATCAGAACATTTTTTCCAAAATGCTAAAATGATTGTATCATCCCCCAGTTTTAATATCCCTATCATCTGCTAAGTAAAAGCAAGCTCCTCCTTGTGGCGTAGCAGGGCCCATGTGATCTGGCCCTTGCCTGAATTTGTAGCTCATCACAACATCCCTCTACCCCCCATTACCTCCTATTATACAGGAACACACAAGTGACCTTCACAACATTCATATCAGCGAGTACACAGGGTCTCCAAAGAGGACCTCTGGATGCCTGTGATCTTTGTACTTCTGCCTACCCTTTGCCCTGGAATGTTTTTCTCTTCCCTTATGTTCTGCTGATCAAATTGTTTTTCCTTCAAGACTTAGGAGCCTGCCTGATTATGTTCCTCCTATTCCGCATCCTCGTAAAATTACTGCATCCTCATAAAATTACAAAGCACTTGGCACATTCTTATTGAATACGTTACATTGTTGTGTAATTATCCCTTGGCCCTCTCTCCAAGCACTAGACTCTAAGCTGTTTGAAGGCAGACTATGCCTATTCATCTTTGTATTTCTAGCCCTGGGCCCAACACCCAGCATTTCTTGTATTTTCAGTATATTTCTGCAAAATGAATTAGAGCTAATGCCTGAAGGAGAATGATTTTTTTTCAGAAAGAGGAAGAGCCAGGAGGGAGAAGGCAGGATCTGAAGAGCTCTGGGAGTTTACTTCAGGAAGATGCGGTTCCCCACTGCAGCATTCTGCCAGGAGGTGGCACTGCTCTGAAGAGCCAGCTGGTGGCTTACAGCCTGAGGTTGACAGCTTGAAACCAAAGAGGGAACTCCACCACGAAGCAACATTCCTCCACTGTGCTTCCCAGCCCAGTTACATGCCATACTCTGCCCTGGTCAAACAGCCAAGTCTTCAGGAGGTTGCTAGCCCCAGGCATCTCCCCAGTGACTGATGATGTTAAACCCTACACTTCTCTGATTGGTTTAGACAAAATGACAAGGGCAGCTATTGGAAATTATCTGGCAAAACATGATCTAAGGCCACCCTCTGGGGGAAGGAGTTGGGGAAGTGCAAGGGTTGGCTGGGTTGGTAGATCCTACCTACTGTGTGGTGAGAAGGTATGGGTCATGAACAGAACCAAGGAGCTGCGCTGCTACAGATGCTACCACTTCTGTGGCTGCTACCCCACTCCTGGGCCGTCCCAGAAGGTAAGATGGTACTCCCATTTACTTCCATCCTGAACCTAGGGAGCCCACCCAGCGTTTGTGAGGAAAAGCGCTGTGCTTTGTGAGTGGTGGGAAGTCTTTTGAGGCAGTGGAAACAGTAGGGGAGTGGGGAAAGACAGCTACTATGTATGGTTGGTAAACGATATCAGAGATGCTTTACATGTTCCATTTAAGACAATCTCTTGAAGTGGAGATTTTTCTCTCCGTTTTACAAATGAAGAAAGTGAGACTCAGAGTTATTTGTGCAAGTTCACAACATTGGAAAGTGGTAGAGCTGGGATTTGAACAAAGTGGATGTTATTTTCACTCCTCCACTCAAGATTCTACTCTGCTTCTATCATTAACTTATCTTGTGATTCTTGAAAAGTCTCTTAGTTTCATTCTCTGTAGAGGATGGCCCAGAATGGAAGAATAATCTGGAAGGTCGCTCTTCCTCCAAATGTCTGTTTTTCTGGGTATTGGGTTAAAGGTTTCCTGCTCGCTGAGCGATTCCTGCCAAGCGCTTCAAAGAAGAGGGATTATTTTATGCAGTTATGGGGTCACTTCTCCCAGTGCTGTCTTTGGGAGGCCTGGTAGGTTAAGGAACAGAAGACATTTTCAGAGAGGCTTGGTGCCAATGAAGTGGCTGAAGAAATGTCTGGAGACTGGTTTTCCAATTTACCATTTGTGTCTGGGGGTAGTGGGAGGCAGTCCCATCTATGGCTTGGGGAGGCTGTAGCCATTCCTCCTCCTTCCCTTCTAAGAGTGAGAAACCCATCCATGGCCTTCTCTAGTCAATACAGTGGCCTGGTGTGAATTAGACAAAGGAATCTTTGGGAGGATACAGCCCTATGCCAGGATGTGTGGCGTGGTGAGCAGAATGCAGGCTTCCACTTGCTGCTTTGGCTAGGTGTCTTTGTGCAGCCCACAAACACACAACGAACAGAGTAACTCTGAATCTGTCACTTTATTTTATATATATGCATTTTTAAAATTTTAATTTGATTAATTAATTCTTCTTATTATTATTTTGAGGCAGAATCTCTCTCTGTCACCCAGGCTGGAGGGCAGTGACGCGATCCCGGCTCACTGCAACCACTGCCTCCAGGGTTCAAGAGACTCTCCTGCCTCAGCCTCCCGAGTAGCTGGGATTACAGGTGCATGCCACCTCATCCGGCTGATTTTTGTATTTTTAGTAGAGATGGGGTTTCATCATGTTGGCCAGGCTGGTCTCAAACTCCTGACCTCAGGTGATCCACCTGCCTTGGCCTCCCAAAGTGCTGGGATTACAAGCTTGAGCCACTGCACCCGGCCTTTATATATATATTTTTTTGAGACGGGCTCATTCTGTCACCTGGGCTGGAGTCCAGTGACACAATCACGGCTCACTACAGCCCCAACCTCCTAGATACAAGCAATCCTCCCCCCTCAGCCTCCAGAGTAGCTGAGACCACAGGTGCTTGCCACCACACCTGGCTAAGTTTTTGTATTTTTTGTAGAGACAGGGTCTCGCTGTGTTGCCCAGGTTGGTCTTGAACTCCTGGGCTCCAGCAATCTGCCTGCCTCAGCGTTCCAAAGGGTCGAGATTTGAGCCACCATGCCTGGACTGAATCTGTCACTTTAGACAGTAGAACTCTTTTTACTTTTGCCAACTTTAGACAACTGGCCTTTTTATAGGCCAGGGAAGCTTGGAGAGATGCTATAATATGTTCTTCACCCCCATTGGGAGGGGGAGTCTAAATAACAGACACGGGAAAGGGTCTCACCTCAGCCCACCCTCCTTGAAGCAGGCCTTGCTTGTTTTTTTTTTTTGGTGGTGGTGTTGTTTTTTGTTTTGAGACAGAGTCTCACTCTGTCACCCAGGCTGGAGTGCAGTGGCTTAATCTTAGCTCACTGCAACCTCTGCCTTCCTGGTTCAAGCAATTCTCCTCCCTCAGCCTCCTGAGTAGCTGGGACAACAGGCGCCCGCCACCGTGCTCAGCTAATTTTTTGTATTTTTAGTAGAGACGGCGTTTCACCATGCTGGCCAGGCTGGTCTCTAACTCCTGACCTCGTGATCTGCCCGCCTTGGCCTCCCAAAGTGCTGGGATTACAGGCATGAGCCACCGCGCCCAGCCCCACCTTGCTGTTTTTTAAGTTGAAGGAGAAGGCTCCCACTTCCCTGAACCTCACCCTATGTCCTTTGCAGCTCCTACTCCAGTGTGGCGAGATGACCTGCAAAACCACACGTTCCTGCACACAGTGTACTGCCAGGATGGGAGTCCCAGTATGGGACTCTCTGAGGCCTACGACAAGGACCAGCTTTTCTTCTTCGACTTTTCCCAGAACACTCGGGTGCCTCGCCTGCCTGAATTTGCTGACTGGGCTCAGGAACAGGGAGATGCTCCTGCCATTTTATTTGACAAAGCATTCTGCGAGATGATGATCCAGCAAATAGGGCCACAACTTGATGGGAAAATCCCGGTGTCCAGAGGTCAGGAGTTTTCTGGGGAGTGAAGGAAGGAGGGCTGCATTCTTAACCTCATTGATCTGTACACTGAATAATTCCCCTTGATACCAGCTCCCCATCTCAAATACCTTCTGGTTCTCTCCATCACCTTAATTTTTCCACCAGCCTTGGTCTGCACCCTGTGTTTTTTGGTGGGCAGAAGTACCTAGCATGTAGTAGGCATTCAGAACTATGTATTGAATGTGATGAATTCAACAGGTACCAGTTGATACCTACTGAATATTAACACTTGTGCTGCTACGCCCAGCAAGATGGATGGGAAGAGTGGAAATATCTGATGATGTGACTATGTCTTAGTGAGAAGACAGTGCATGGTTAGATGTCAATGTGAGCTCTAGACAGGAAGTACTGAAGGAAGTCATGGTGGAGGGGTCCAGAGTAGCCTGGATCGGGCTCTGCTTCTAGGTCTAGCTGCAGTCCTTGCCTGGAAGAAGACCTCCCTTGGGAGCCCAGCTCCTCCCTCATCTCTGTCTCCCAAAGCCTGACCCACTGTGTTCTTCTCTGCCCTCCCCTCCATATGCCATGCACCCTCCAAACACAGAGATACCGTCTAAACTAGTCTCTTTTTTCCCCCACACCACAATCCCCCCACCAGGGTTTCCTATCGCTGAGGTGTTCACGCTGAAGCCCCTGGAGTTTGGCAAACCCAACACGTTGGTCTGTTTTGTCAGTAATCTCTTCCCACCCATGCTGACAGTGAACTGGCAGCATCATTCCATCCCTGTGGAAGGATCTGGGCCTACTTTTGTCTCAGCTGTCGATGGACTCAGCTTCCAGGCCTTTTCTTACTTAAACATCACACCGGAACCTTCTGACATTTTCTCCTGCATTGTGACTCACGAAATTGACCGCTACACAGCAATTGCCTATTGGGGTGAGGCTTTCTCCCTGGAAGTCTGGTCCTTTTGGGGGCAAAAAGGGATAGATCCATGGGAGGAGTCTTCTTTCTCCACTGGTACCTTGTTTAGTCCATTCCTACCCTAAGCCCATCCCAATCTGCCATGCCTCAGTTTCTCCCATGTCATCCCAGACACCCAAGTCATTCCCCTGGGAGGGAGGCTCCCTAACTAGGTCCCCAGGCTGAGCCGCTCCTTATTTCCTCCAGTGCCCCAGAACGCACTACCCTCAGATCTGCTGGAGAATGTGCTGTGTGGCGTGGCCTTTGGTCTAGGTGTGCTGGGCATCATCGTGGGTATTGTTCTCATCATCTACTTCCGGAAGCCTTGCTCAGGTGGTATGTCATCTGGAGGGGGCGGGTGAGCCGTGGGAGCCAGATACGGTGGTGCATGTGTGCATGTGTCAGCATTATTTTGTGGCATGGGGGGACACATAGCGATCCTCAGGCTCTTGGGTGTGGGGGCCTGTATCCAGCACCATGGGAGCACATCTTCCCAGTTGGGGACCCAGTTACACACATACAGTTATGGGTCACAAGAATGGCTTTGAGTGGAAAAAGGAATCATGGGGTGCTGTAGGAAGGGTGCTTGGAGATGATCTGGGAACAAGGAGAGATCAGCCTCTGCAGGGTATGCTGAAGGCAGGGCGAGCAAGGCCTTTGGGGAGGAGGAGGAGGAGAAGGAGGAGGAGGAGAAAGAAGAGGAGGAGGAGGAGAAGGAGGAGAAGGAGGTAGAGGAGGAGGAGGAGGAGGAGGAGGAATCCCCTGATGCCTTTCCTCCATCCCTGTCTCTCCCCAGACTGATTCTTCCAGACCAGAGTTTGATGCCAACAGCTTCGGCCATCCAAACAGAGGATGCTCAGGTTTCTCAGGATCTCTTCTTCTCAGGGTAGAAGAAGTCTCTGGGACATCCCTGGGGTGTGTGTGTAGATTTCCCACCTGGGGACTCTGCTATCCCTGGGCTTGCATCCCAGGGATCCCAGAGTGGCCTGCCTATCACAACCACATCCCTTCCCTGCACAAGACAATAAATCATCTCATTTCTTTATATCAGGGTGGCTTCTTTCTTAACTCACAGTATTTGTTTCTGGATAGCTCGATTTTAGTGGGTTGTCGTTTCAAATTCAGCATGCCTTAACCTGAACACAGCTTGCCCTCGTTAGGGAGGGAAATAGCGAAAACCCCTAATTTGCCGGCTGAGTTCTTATTCCCTGGTCTCGGCGGTACATGATGCTTTTCCTTCTATCGGTTTGTGGAAAATATGTGAGAAATGAAGGAAGAGTTATTTTCTAATAATCTGCTTACCAAATGGTTAAGGAAGCTGCTTGTGCGGGGTGTGTGTGTGTGTGTGTGAGTATTTTACTGTTTGTGAAAATGTTTATGTCTTGTATAGGCTGCCCTGAGGAACATATAACTCCCTTCAACCCTCACCGTAACTGGGAAACGGAAGCTCAGGGATGGGTAGAGTAAGCCCCCAGGTGCAATTCCAGTCATGTCAGTTCTGGGAAAACAGTATCATGAAGCCCCTAACATGAAGTGAAAACAGCCTGGAAGGGCAAAGAATTCACATGTCTTTCCTGACAATCTGTCCTTGGCCTGAGTGAACTGTCCAAGGAGAACTGCACAGGTGCTGTCCTGGGCAGATAATGAAAGCTGGCGGCACATGACCACTGGTGGTAAATTGCTTTGCATGTGCTTTCTTTCTTGCATTCCTTAGGGTCTGGGATTTGCTTTGGATGACACGGTGGCAATAAAGTTGAGAGGGCAATTACTTGGTGAGGGAGTTTCTGTTCTTGGCATTGTATTAGAGTCTAATCTAAAATAAAAATTCCCCCTAAAAGAAGTTAGCACTGTCTCTGAACCATCTCATTTCTAACAGCATCATGTGTGCTGGTTAAGAAGCACGGGCTCTGGAACCAGACTGCTGGGGATGCAATTGTAACTGTCAGTGTTTCACTGTGAGCCCTTGAGCAAGTTACTTAACTTGTGCTTTGGTATCATTTTGTGTAAAAGGATGATGATAACAATGGTGTCCACCTTACCACCATGTTGCCAACATTTGAAAGTCAAATAAATATTAGTGAGGATAAAGGGAAAGGTGAACTGTAATATCTTGGTCTGTTGGTGGGATTGTAAACTGTTTATAACCCTTGAATTACAGAAATTATAAACTAGTTGAGTGAAAAAATTAATATAGGAAATAAGGCAGCATATCCTCATGCTGTGAAGCTTAAATAAGTTAATATCTATAGAATGCTTACAATAGTGTTTGGCACATACAAAATGTGCTCAATAACCTAATCTTATCATTACTTGTCTTGATCTTCAGAGGAGAACTTAGTTGCTTTGTAGACTTCTTTCTCTTTTCTGAAATACACCTTAATACTAGCTTCAAGTATTGTGTTTTCTCCATTTTAGATGTTTTTCTTTTTATTCTTACTTTACTAATTCTAGATATGGTGCTTTCTAGTTCTTCCTAATTTCTCTCTCTCGCTCTCTATTTTCCAACTTATCTAGATATTTCCTGTCAGGCAAGCTTTAAAAGTGTTTTATTATGCTGTGTGACCTTAGACAAGTCACTTCCCCTCTCTGGGCCTCAAAGTCCTCATCTATAAAATGATGGGCTTAGATTAGATGCTCTCTGAACAAACCTTCTATGATACTGTTACTTAAGTACTCTAGAAGCACTCAGTATCCTCTCTAGTCTGGTGCCCCTTTTCTAATAAAAAATATTAGTCACTATTCCCAGCAGGAATTATGTTCTTGAATGAATCTTTTTTCCTCACTCTTTCTTGAGGTATTATATCTGTTTTTGGTTTAGGGCATTTGCCCAGGCTCTTTCCTCTCACAGGAATGCCTTCTTTATTCTGCTTATCTTGTTCCTGTCTTAACCCACTCCATAGGTCCAACTCCAGTTCAACTTATTCCATGAACCTGCCCCTAATTTCTCTTTACTGAAATCTTCCAAGACTTAAAGCACTCAACCTAAGGATTGGGATATGCCGCTTTATTTCCTATGTTAATTTTTTTTCACCCAACTAGTTTATAATTTCTGTAATTCAGGGATCATAAACAGTTTATACTCTCACCAACAGAGCAAGATAGTTCACATTTCCCTTTATGCTCACTAATACTTGTAATTATTTGACTTTTAAATGTTGGCAGCATGGTGGGTATAGAGTGGTATTTTGTTGTTTTAATTTGCTTTTCTGTCATTACTAATCAGTATCACATTGTTTGATGATTTTGGCTTTTTAATAGGTGTTACTATTTAGTAGAACTAGTCTCCATTCCTTTACCATCTTCCCAAAAAACTTATTTTTCTTTTCTTTATCAAAATATTCTAAGATACTCTTGGACTATATTTCCATGTACATTTTATAATCAGTTTGTTAAATTCTCCTGAAATCCTACTGTTACTTTAATTGGGGTAGCATTTAGGTTAGAGATGTGGGGAGAGGTTGTCATTATGTTAGCATGGCCTATCCATGAATATGGTATATCTCTACACCTCTCAGGTCTTTGTGCACTTCAATAAAGTTTTCTTTTTTCTTAAAATTCTTATATTTGATATGTTAATTCATAAATATGCTATGGTTTTTATTGTTATTATAAAAGGCAATTTGCAGTTATTTTCCAATTGATTATTAGCAATACAGGATTTAAAGTAAGAAATCCTGAGTTCAAGTAATGATTCTATTACTTAGTATCTGGGTAAACCTCAGCAACCACTTAACCTCCCTCTGCCTCCATTTTCTCATGGGTAAGATGAAGATAGCATTCTTCAATAGTTGTGGTGTTAAAAAATAAAAATAAAAAAGGAAAAATAGTTGTGGTGGCAAATCAGATAGACTATCCCCTAGTAGTTCAAGTAATTTGGCTGTAGGATGGAAGGATGGTGAACTGACTAGAGAAACTATAATCCAAAGGTCAGATCTAGAGCAGTGAATCCTGACAGGGTAGGAGGGTGTATGTGTGGGCGGAGGTGAGGTAAGGGGTAGATGGTAGGAGTCGGGTGGGGATTGGACAGATTGGGCAAGTAATATAATCTTGGCAGGATGTAGGTGTGGGTAGTTTTGAAAAGACACCGAAGTCACGAATGTGGTCTTATGCTATGAGGCATGATTAACTGGTTGAGCAATTTTGTGTTTATAAAATGGAGACTTCAGTTAAAACCATCTGCCCCAAAGAGGAACCTGAGAACTGACATGGAGCAACTTTAGGAAGTGCCTAGAAGAGATTTATTATTATGGCCATACTCTCAGAAAAACACAAGAGATTGCATTTGTGACTTCCTCCAATGTGCAGTGCCAGTGATGTTATTGTAGCTTGTCTTTGTTTTAGCTACCCCAAGCTCCTCGTAGGACACCTCCTCCCTGATGGCACCTCACAGCATTGTCAAGCTTGTGAAGCTATACACCAGACCTACGATGCCAACTGCCTTCCTCCTCTCCAGCACAAATCCAGCCCAGTATTCAAGGCTCATTCCAGGTCCTCTTGATTGAGAGTACTCCCTGTCTACTATGCCCATGGTGATTTCTCTCTTCTTTTTTAAGACCACTGGCCTTATTGCTCTCTTATTGCTTACTTGCTTTAATATAAACTATTTAAAGTGTTTGTTCTCACTCCCCAACTGACCTACAAGCAAAGTGATACGGGAGCAGAATCCATATCTTCTCATTCTGAATGTTCCCAGTAATGCTTTGCACACAAACCCTGGGACTAGTCCACTGCAGGCATGTGGTGGCCAGGCTAAGGGCAGAGGCAGTGGGAAAGGAGAGGACTCACTCTTTGGGTGGTTGTGTAGAGTCAGTAAAAGAAAGGCAACATGTGGGAACCCCGTTGGGGCTCCATGCCTCTTCAGTCCCGGTGCTATATCAATAATTAACAAAAAGCAACAATGGACAGAGCAATTGAGATGTTATTTTGGATTGGCTGGAGGTGGGAAGACAGAGCTATATCTGTAAAAATGGAAGGGTTGGGAGGAGGAGAGGAAGGAAAACACTGCTGAGCACAGGTGTCTGGGTTTTCTGTCCTTCTTTATTCTAAAAAGCTCCCTCAGTGTTTGAATTAATAGAGAAGTGAAATCTTCTCCTGTCATCTCCTGTTGTGGCCTCACAGAAGGTTTCACATCTCCTTTGACTGCTGGAGCAGAGATCTAGACATAAGAGGGAACTACATTCAGCCTCACTGTTACTGGCTATGGCCATGTTCAGTGCTGGCACAGGACCACACAGCCAGTGCCCCCTTGCCAGGGCTAGGCTTTGTAGACATTGAAAAGGATCCCAGGACTTGGTTCCTATAAGGTTAGGATAACAGCTTACCTGGACAGGATGGGGAGGAATGTGAGGGGGAAATGTATGGAGTGGGGGGCGCAGGGGAAAATTCAGTTTTAAAACTTGTCAAAAGGAGAAAGTGGAAGGGACGGTGGTTCGCAGAGCAGAAGGAACTCTGAGGACGGGAAAGATAAGACTTGGGTGAACTGGGTTATGGATTGTGACTCTTCTCTTTCTCCCTTTCTCAGCAGAGGCCTCAGTGACTCCCTTTATCTGAGCCATCCCAGTTCCAGGATGTAGTGAGTGTGTGGGCATGCTCAAGTGTGTGTGTGTGTGTACGCACATGCATGTGTAAGAGCTGTATAAGAAGAGGAGTTACAACCTTTAGACCTTGGGTGTGAATCTTTGGACCTGTTTTCCAACCTGGGAAATGAGGACAATTAACAAGTTTTTTGTGTGTGTGATTTTCTTTTTTTAAGACGAGTCTCACTCTGTCACCCAGGCTGGAGTGCAGTGGCACGATCTCAGCTCACTGCAACCTCTGCCTCCCAGGTTCAAGCGATTCTCCCGCCTCAGCCTCCAGAGTAGCTGGGATTACAGGCACGCGCCACCATGCCCGGCTAATTTTTGTATTTTTAATAGAGACAGAGTTTCACCATGTTTGCCAGTCTGGTCTCGAACTTCTGACCTCAGGCGATGTACCTGCCTTTGGGAGGCGAATCCCTCCCAAAGTGCTGGGATTACAGGTGTGAGTCACCACATCTGGCCAACAAGTCTTTTAAGATGAGATGAGATAGTATATAACGGACCTACCTAGCATTGTATCTGTTCTAAAGTAGAAGCTCTACAAATTATGCACTCCCCACCCCATATTCTGTCCACTCCAACACACTTGACAGTTCATTAGCAGAGTTAGAGTATATAATCAAGGTGAGTGGGGGCAGTGGCTGGGAGCTATGGCAGAGCTTCAGTTAATCTCAATTAGTTACACGAGGAGTCTTTTGTTTTTGGTAATGATCTTTGTATGTATTTTTTTCTAATCATTTTCTCCGTAGGTATTAGATTTTCCTGAGATCAGGGACTTTGGGGGAGGGCAGCTAAGTGTGGTGTCAAGGGGACCCCTCCACATCTTCTTTTGTTTAGCTCACTATTTAATGAAATCCAAGAGTCCTCAGAAACTAAGGTGTGGAGAGGCAGCCCTGAAACCTACTGAGGAGCAGAAGGAAGCCAATTTAGAGTTTCAAGTTAGTAATGGAAAATCCATCAACTGTATAGTTCACAATGGGATAGAAGAATGAATTGCCATTTAAAATCTGCTTTTTCAGGCCAGGCACAATGTATGCCTGTAATCCTAGCACTTTAGGAGGCTGAGGTGGGTGGATCACTTGAGGTCAGGAGTTCAAGACCAGCCTGGCCAACATAGTGAAACCCCGTCTCTACTGAAAAAAAAAAAAATAATTACAAAAATTAACCAGGCGTGGTGGCACATGCCTGTAACCCCAGCTGCTCGGGTGGCTGAGGCATGAGAAGCATCTGAACCCAGGAGGCAGAGATTGCAGTAAGCCAAGATCATTCCACTGCACTCCAGCCTAGGCAACAGAGTGAGACTCTTTAAAAAAAGCCGTGAAAAAATAAATACGCAAATACGTAAAATCTGCCTTTTCAAGACACACACGTGACCAACAAGCATATGAAAAAATATTCAACATTACTAATGATTAGAGAAATGCAAATCAAAATCATAGTGAGATATCATCTCATTATGGCTATTATTAAAAAGTCAAAAAATAACAAATGTTGGAGAAGTTGCAGAGAAAACAGAAGGCTTATACACTGCTGGTGGGAACATAAATTAGTTCAGTCATTGAGGAAAGCAGTTTGGCACTTTCTCAAGAAACTTAAAGCAGAGCTACCATTTGTCCCAGCAATCCCGTTATTAGGCATATACCCAAAGGAGTATTAATTGTTCTACCATAAAGACATACGCACGTAAATGTTCACTGCAGCAGTATCCATCACAGCAAAGACATGGAATCAACCTAAATGCCCACCAACAGTAGATTGTATAAAGAAAATGTGGTACATATACACCATGGAATACTACACAGACAAAAAAAGACGAGACCACGTCTTTTGCAGCGTCATGGATGGAGCTGGGGGCCATTATCCTAGGCAAACTAACACAGGAGCAGAAAATGAAATACTACATGTTCTCACTTTTATAAGTGGGAACTAAACATTGAGTACACATGGACACACAAAAAAGGGAATAATAGACACTGGGCCCTACTTGAGGGTGGAGGTTGGGAAGAGGGAGAGGATCAAAACACTGCCTATCAGATACCATACTTATTACCCGGGTGATGAAATAAATTTGTATTCCAAATCCCCATGACACACAATTTACCTATATAACAAACCTGCGCATGTACCCTTGAACCTAAAACAAAGGTTAAAATAATTAAAAATAAATAAAATATAAAATCTTACTTGCTATTCTCAAAAAATAAAAAACAAAATCTGTCTTTTTAGGGGAAGAAAAGTAGGAAAGCTTTATCTCATTTTCCTAGTGGCTTCATAATGCAGGGACCTGCCCCCAGGGAACAGGGTACAGTAGAGGAAACACATAGGGGTGTTTAGAGTTTGGGGGAAGGCAGGTGAGCTCTGGGCACTGACCCGTCACCAGCTATTTTTCAAGGAGTCTGAGTGGTGTTAACCTGCAGTCTACCCCGTGAGATTGCTCAGAGTGTAGGAGGATATGGTTTACTGGCTCCAGAAAGCAGCTATTATAACTGAGGAGGAAATGAAGCTTGACTGGCTAGAACAGAAGCAACAATGGAGGCCCATGGAGGGATTTTCCAGGCCCCTATTCCTGATCTCTAAAGTGGCGCTGCTTCCCTTATTCTGCAGTCTTGCTTTGAGACCAGACAATTCTGTACTCTGTCTGTGCCTCCTTCCTTCTCAGCAGCCCTGCCTCTACCACCTGCCCCAGAAGGGCTCTGGGTCCTCTCATCTCAGGACAGACAAAGATTTTTGTAATTATCTTCTTGGGTAACCTCCCTGTAAGGAATAGGAGAGGTTATCTGGTCCTGGTCTTTTGGGAGAGCATTGAGAGGAAAAAGTTAAACCAGTGGGCAGCCCAGGCTGCATACATCCTGGGAATATTGCGATTATTCTCTCCAGTAATCTAGGGAAATCTACTGGTTGTTCTGCAGAAAAAGAATTAAGAGAGAACAGGAGACCTGTTGTCTAAGCCTAAGGCAGGATGAGGTTTACCTAGTAACTGATGACGCTAGGCTGAGGCACTCAGCGATTTGTCTCTACATCTGTCCCCGCCTACCTAGCAAATCTGTCCCTGTTTGAACACTGGTCTCCCGTGAGCTGGAAGGAACAGGTTTAATATCTAGGGGCTGGGTATCCCCAAATCACTCATTTGGGGGGATCAAGGGACCCGGGCAATATAGTATTCTGCTCAGTGTCTGGAGATCATCTACCCAGGCTGGAGCTTCTGGGACAGGTGAGGACCCACGGACCCTGGAAGAGCTGGTCCAGGGGATTGAACTCCGGGCATCTCTACAGAGCAGAGCATGATCATATTCCTGCCGCTGCTGCTGGGGCTCAGCCTGGGCTGCACAAGAGCAGGTAAGGACACTTCTTCCGGGGACTCTCCCTTCCCCTGCTCCTGTTTCAGGATAAGGGTGTTCCGTTTTGTAATTGCATATGACCCCCTGGATAGTTTGTCTCCCTGGTATGTATTCCTATAGCACTTTGTACTTTATCTTTGTAGCAATTTTAATGTAATTAATCTGTATAATTATCTGTGCAGTGTATATTCCCTGCTGGAATATAGGCAAGGACATTGTTCATCTTATTTATTGCTGCATCCCCAGCTCCTAGCACAGTGCCTGCATGCAGCAAGTGCTTCGTAAATATGTGCAAACTGAATATTTAATATTTCCAGCACAGTACAAGGCTGACTCTTTCTCTTGACCCTTATTCTCTCTCAATAATTTGCCATAGTGAAGGTCTGTGTTCTGGGCAGATTGTCATGTTTAAATATGCAAATAATCTCGGGGGGCCACTCCTATCCCTGTGCTTAGTCTTGCATAAAGAGGAGACTGGATCTACAAACTTATCTACTATGTCTATCGACTCCCTCAAATCAGGCTTTCAGAAACTTCAGGGTATGAGCTTGGTCAGTAGACGGTCCCTGAGCAGGAAATCTGTGCCAGACTAACTGGATGTCACCAAGGCTTAGGTTCTCAGCTGAATATAAGAAAAATCAACTTTTTTTCTTCTATATGCTCACACTCAACACTTCTTTGACCAATTGTGTGGGTTTTGTCTTTTTTTTTTTTTAACTCATAGCAACCAATTATCCTATATTAGCTGGATATCCTATAATTCAATTCCATTGTGACATTAACTGGAGTTAACATAGAGTCCAAAGGTTAAAGACTCAGTCCCATAAGGCCACCTCCATTTCAGACACCAATCACAAGTAGTAGCTTCCCGAGTTACCTACATCTTCTGTCCAACTTGGCTACAAATCAGAGGTTCCCATGACCCCCTCCTTGGGGTTGATAATTTGCTAAAGTGGCTTATGGAACTCAGGAAAAGTTTACTTACTATTGTAGACTTTTAGAAGGGATATTTTATTTTAATTGATAATGATTATACATATTCCTGGGGTGGATAATGGTGTTTTAGTACATGTAATGTACAGTGATAAGATCAGAGTAATTAGCATATCCATCATCTCATTTATCATTTCTTTGTGTTGGAAACATTCAATATCCTTCTTCTAGTGATTTGAAATGATATAATGTATTATTGTTAATTATAGTCATCCCACAGTGGTATAGAACACTAGATTTTAATTTTGCATCCTTTAACAAAGGATATTTTAAAGCATACAAATGAACAACCAGATGAAGAAACACCAGGTCTGGAAGGGTCCCAATCACAGGAGCTCTGTCCCAACAGAATTGGGGTACTTCACCTCCTGGTACGTGGATGTGTTTACCAACTGAGAAGTTCTCTGAACTCCACAGTTCCGGGATTTTTATGGAGGCTTCATCACATAAGCATGACTGATTATTAACTCAATCTCCAGCCCCTTCCCCTTCAGGGAGGATGGGGGAAGGGACTAAAAGTTCCAGGCTTCTAATCATGGCTTGGTCTTTCTGGTGACCAGCCCCTCCTCTAGGAGCCCACCAAGAGTTACCCCATTAGAACAAAAGACACTCCTGTTATCTAGGAAATTCTAAGCGATTAGGCACTCTATCTCAGGAATCAGGGTCAAAGACAAAATATTAGAACAAAAACAAAAGATGCACCTAGCGTCCCTATCACTCAGGAAATTACAAGGGTTTTAAGAGCTCAGTGCAGAGCTCCTAAATATATGTCTATATGTTATATATATTTATGTATATTTATTATTTATTTATCGTCAGGCCAATAGAAGACATTGACCTGCTCTCCCTTCCCTGGCTCCTCTAGGTGGCTTTGTGGCCCATGTGGAAAGCACCTGTCTACTGGATGATGATGGGACTGCAAAGGATTTCACATACTGTATCTCCTTCAACAAGGATCTGCTGACCTGCTGGGATCCAGAGGAGAACAAGATGGTCCCTTGCGAATTTGGGGTGCTGAATCCCTTGGCCAATGGCATCTCACATTACCTCAACCAACAGGACACCCTGATGCAGCGCTTGCGCAATGGGCTTCAGAATTGTACCACACACACCCAGCCCTTCTGGGGATCACTGACCCACAGGACACGTGAGGAGAGAGGGATGCAGAGGGGCTACCAGGAAGTGCAGTTAAGAGGGCAGGCCAGGGAGGATCCCACAGTGGCCCAGGGGTTTGAGATTTGAGCAGCAAAGAAGAGAAAATGTGTGGATCTGAAATGTAGAAAGAGGGAGGATTGAACCTCAAGGGGAACAAGGTGGCTGACCTGAGTGGAACAGGAGTAGAGAAGGGGAGGTGAGGTTTGAACTGCGAGGAATCATGAGGGAAGCTTATGCAGAGGCCAGGGCATCTCAGGATGGGTACCCAAGATGTTCATGCCTTCTTATCCTAGATTTTGGTGTTCTAGATCTGAGGTGGGCCCAGGCATGGGAATATTCGGAATCCTAGGGGATCCTGACACATGCTTTTTCTCACACTTAAACTCTTGCATTGACAATGGCTTGAAGTTTGTAAAAGTAAATTTGAAGCTCTCCACAGTACAGAATAGTGTGTTTCAAGGGTGATTTCTGAACCACCTTTCTCAGAATTGCCTGGAGGAGGTGCTTGTTAAATATGCAAGCCCCTTGGTACCACTCCAGATCTGTTGAAAGTATCTGGGGATACAGGCTAGGAAATCTGCATTTTAACATAATTTCTTGGATTTTTATTTAAGATTGTGTTTGAAAAATGTCAAGATAGAGGCAAGCAAGAGGGTCACCTAGGAGAGTAAATCAGTAAAATATGGCAGTATTAGCAATCTCATTAATTTGACTACATTCATTCCAAATTTAAGAGTGAATCTTAAGTTAGGCTTGTTTCCTTAAACTATGCGAGGAGAAAAGGCTTTAACTAGCAAATTAATGTATTAAACAAGATTTGGAGAAAAATTCCTTTTCCACCTTAAAAAAACCCAATGTACAACTCTGGATTACTCTTAGCTTACTTATTTCAAATACTTTCCAGCTTACGTACTTGAAATATAATACAATGACTTCCAGAACAGCTTGCAGTTCAGATCTGGTTTTTACTAATTGTAATCAAACATAACTCTGGAGGAGGAAAGAAAGAAAGGGGCAATGAAGGAATGTGAGAGAAGAAAGAGGAATGCAGGAATATATTCTAATGATTCCCTTTCAAGGGGCAGCATGGCAGGGGGGCTGGGGTGGGAAGTGGGTTGCAAAATCTATGAAGAGTTGCGATAGAAAAAGAAACCGGGTTGGAGAAGAGGCCAGAATGTCACCCTCCTTCCTAAAGATGTTTTTTCTCCTATGCAGGGCCACCATCTGTGCAAGTAGCCCAAACCACTCCTTTTAACACGAGGGAGCCTGTGATGCTGGCCTGCTATGTGTGGGGCTTCTACCCAGCAGATGTGACCATCACGTGGATGAAGAACGGGAATCTTGTCATCCCTCACGGCAGTGGCCAGAAGACGGCCCAGCCCAATGGAGACTGGACGTACCAGACCCTCTCCTATTTAGCCTTAACCCCCTCTTACGGGGACACCTACACCTGTGTGGTGGAGCACATTGGGGCTCCTGAGCCCATCCTTCGGGACTGGAGTAAGTGTATGGCAGATGGATGGAATTAGGGTCAAAGCAGAGAAAATGAGATGTGGATCGATACATGGTACATAGTAGACAGCAAGGTGCTGAAAATGGGGACTGAGTCTGGAGGAACTTATGGGGGGCTTAGGACCAGAATTGGGAAATGGGATAAAGAAATGGAAATATTTAGGTTGGTGAAAAGGATTTGCAGTTTTTGCCATTACTTTTAGTGGCAAAAAATGCAATTACTTTTGCACCAATTTAATATTTCTATTTAGACTGTGCTATTGTTGCTCTGGTGGTGTGGTTGATGTTGCTGCATCTATATTTGAGGGTGGGAGGGGAGCGTGCTTGCTTTGAAATGAGGATGTAAATTTGGCAATCGTATTTTCAGAACCCCAAATTGTAATACACTATTCTAGCCTCCTTAGATTTCAACTATTCTGGTGCCAGAAGCAGATGGGAGCTGAAGGAATGATGAAGGTTGAAGAAGGGGGACATTTCTTGGTGTGGGGCAGTACTACATTTGGCCTGCTCTACCAAGCATAGGGGAGTAGTCAAGCCACGGCTGGCAGACCATTTGGCGTGCATGCTCAGGGGCTAATGGCTAAAGAATTAATTACAGTTCAAACACTGTCGGGAGTAGTTAAAGGTATTGTGAGAAGTTGCACACAGCTTTGGGTATTCTTGGAAAAGAAAGAGAAAGAAATGAGGAAGAGGAAGGGTGTCTACAAAAGCCAGAGAACAGGATCTCAGATCAGCTGCTGTAACCAGGTTTTCCCCTTGTGGGAAGTGCTGTTTCCTGCTGGGCAGTTGGGAAGGGAATGGAGAACAGAGAAGACAGTGGAAATCACATGCTCACTTGAACTTTCCTGGGGAACATCTCCTCACAGGGTGTACAAGAACCTCCCTTTGGTAATAGAGTGTTCATTTTATCATAGGAAAAGAATCTGAGTGGGACATGATTCAGAACAGGACCAGCCCAAGGAAGTGCAGGGGCTGTGGAGTGGGATGGAGACAAGCTCCATGGGACATCTAGATGTAGAAGGTACACAAGTAGTAGGATAACTCACAGGATGGATCCACTGGAGGTTAAGACACGTGGTAAGACAGTGTAACAGGAAGCTGCTCAGTCGGAGAAAGTAAGGAAGCAAACGTTGTCACCGTGGGGGCAATGGAGAGGACAGTGAGGAGCCCTTTATCCTGGTAAGAGTGCCTTTTGGGTAAAGAAAGGAAAGAGGATGCCTTGAGAGGCGCCACTGTATTAGAGAGGACCTGGAAGACAGGATACTAATTCTGGGGAGATGGGTTCCCCAGGCTTACTCTAGGAGTAGAGGCCCATGGGATGAGGGTTTGATTTGAGAAAGATCATTTTCTTGGGAGTGGGTGGTGCGAGCTAGACCCTTAGAGCTGGGATAAAGGACCTTTTAACCTACTGAGAGGTGGCTGCAATAAATGGAATTGCCCTGGGGGTGAGCAACAGAAATTGGTTCAAGTAAGTTTCTATTTTTTGCAGCACCTGGGCTGTCCCCCATGCAGACCCTGAAGGTTTCTGTGTCTGCAGTGACTCTGGGCCTGGGCCTCATCATCTTCTCTCTTGGTTTGATCAGCTGGCGGAGAGCTGGCTCCTCTAGTGAGTGACTCCCTGAATTCCCATCCCCACTCTTGGTCCCAATCTCTGCTTACTTTCTGTTTGTGATTGACTCTTTCCTTCCTACCCCCTTTGCTATGAATAATGCTAGATACTTTCATCCACAAAGACTGGTATAATCAAGTATCTTCCTCTCTTAGGTTACACTCCTCTTCCTGGGTCCAATTATCCAGAAGGTAACATCTCTGTTGGTCTACTTCCCTACTTGTCCTTTGGTTGGGGTGCAGGTTAGAGGGTCAGTGTTGGGTTCAACTAATCTTGCTTATTATATGGGTGAGCTTCCATGAGGATCTAGCCAAGGGCATGATTTAAGCTGCCATTGCTAGGATTAAGAGTAGGAAGGAGCATCCTTCTCTTCCACTAAGTGGGGTGTCTGCAGACAGGAGGATGAAGGTGTTTCCTTTGTACTAGTTGTTGGTGCCCTGGAGTTCTCAATATCACTGTATTAAGGCATGGGATAGTTACAGTGGCAAATGATGGGGGCAAGTTGGGTTCAAGCCTCATTATCTCCCTTTTATTTATTCTGTAGGATGACACATTTCCTAGAGGCAGAATCCTACAACTTCCACTCCAAGTGAGAAGGAGATTCAGACTCAATGATGCTACCATGCCTCTCCAACATCTTCAACACTCTGACATTATCTTGGATCCTATGGTTTCTCCATCCAATTATTTGAATTTCCCAGTCTCCCCTATGTAAAACTTAGCAACTTGGGGGACCTCATTCCTGGGACTATGCTATAACCAAATTATCGTCCAAGGCTATATTTCTGGGATGGATATAATCTGAGGAAGGGAGTTAAAGACCCTCCTGGGGCCCTCAGCGTGCCATAGAGGACAGCAAGTCACTGGTGATTGTTTCGGAGAAATAAACTTTAGTGGAAATAATGTTTTTCCATGTCTTCTTCCTGGGGGCCTGGGGAAGGAATATGGGCAAGCAGGGGCTGAGGTTAATTCTCTTCTACTTGAGTGGGGGAGAAACAGTGCCTTCTTCCATTTTCCCACTTAGACATGACAGAATTTGGGGCCGTTTTCTGATTAATAATTCATAAGGAGAAATTAAACTGTGGTGGGATGGAGTCACGGAGTATGGGCAAGGAAGGGGATTAACAGCTTACTCACCCCATACAGGATCTTATAAGGATTAAATGAGTTCATACTTGTAAATGGCTAAGAACACTGCCAGACACACAGCCAGCCTGCAATAGTGACGTTAGCTATTTTCAGTTATTCAACTTTCTGGCCAGGCATTGTACCAGGTACTCTGATCCTCATCACAACCGTAAGGCAGACCCCTCAGACCCCTCAGGATTCAGGGAACAGAGTTTAACTCTGGATTGAGTTCTAGACAGTTATTTCTTCCATACCCTGAATGCAGAAGGGAACATAGCTTGAGTGATTATTTTATCTTAGGCACTGGGCTCAGACCTTTATATTTGTAGCTCCTTCTCTTCTCACAATAACCCCACAAGGGACAGATTGCTTCCCTCTATGTTACAGACAAAGGATATGAGGCTCAGAGACATTTAAGTGACTTGTCCAAGGTCAAAGAACAGATTTCTGTAGGATGTTTGTCTACCTGAGCTGGAAGTAGCAGATTACTTTATTCTGAAGACCCTCATGCTGGTGAGCACACATCTCTTCAGGGCCTCCGTTCTATTCCCTTCTAACCCAAGCCCAAGGAGAACCCTTTGGGGGAATGGACTCCACGCCATGGAAGAAAGGATGCTGGCTGGTGGTTTGTTGTCCCATGAAAGGCGACACCTGCTGGACACAGAAAGCTAGGGTGTGGAATTGTTTTTGGAATTAGAGTTAGGTACTAGAATGTGGGTAAGAAAAAGAAACCAGAAATGAGTTGATCTGGAACACATCCATAGTTTCTTCAGACGGATCCTTGGAATTAGAGCATCTCTTCTGGAAGGGGTTAACAGAAGTCAGTGGAAGGAAGTTAATGTCTATATTTTATCATTTTTATGTTTCATATTCATTTTTTTCTATTCACTGTTTTTGTTTTTATTTTTGTTCGTTTGACAAAGCAAACTCCTTTTTAAATTCTAGTTTAGTCTAGGAATGGGGCTTTGGGCCTTGTCTATAACTGGGCAGTTTTATTTATTATTTTTATTTTATTTATTTATTTTTTTTCAAGATAGAGTTTTGCTCTTGTTGCCCAGGCTGGAGTGCGATGGTGCAATCTCGGCTTATTGCAACTTCTGCCTCCCGGGTTCAAGCGATTCTCCTGCCTCAGCCTCCCAAGTAGCTGAGATTACAGGCGTGCACCACCACGCCTGGCTAATTTTGTATTTTATTAGTAGAGATGGGGTTTCACCATGTTGGTCAGGCTGGTCTCGATCTCTTGACCTCAAGTGATCCACTTGCCTCGGCTCCCAAAGTGCTGGGATTACAGGCATGAGCCACCGCACTCGGCCTATTTGGACAGTTTTAAAGGCGAAGCTGCAGATCTGAAGGGTCTAGTTCTAGTCACAGCAGTGAGAATCAAAGTGACAGGACCCCAGAGGAAGGAAGTAGAGAGTTAGCTAACGAGACGGCTTCCAGTTCCTTTTCTAGAAATTCCCAGTGCAGGCTTTTCTCTGCCCTAACTTTGTAGGTTTTTTGTTTTATAGGAAAGGCTGTACCATTCCAGGTAAGGAATAGGGAAAAGTATATGTAGGTCTCCTACGATCCAGTCAGTCAGAATACTATAGATAGAAAGGGGAGTCTTTACACAGGGGAATGAGTGATACTTGAAAGGAAGGTGGAAGAAGGGTAATGGCGGACTAAACTGTAGGAGGATGAGGAGAAGAAAATGGATGCCGCATGAAGAGAATGGAATGTCAAACATAATGGATTGCCAAAAAAGGAGTGCATGCGGGGGTGTGTGTGCGGGTGTGTGTGCGTGTGTGTGTGCGCGCGCACTTGAGCACATGTGAGAGAAAGGAAAAAAAAAGAAGGAGTGGAAGAGAGTAGGAGAAAGGGAGAAAAGGGGCGAGAGAAGTGGAGTAGGAGAAAGAAGGAGAGACACGTAGAGGGAGTGAGGGAAGGGAAGGAGGGAAGAGAGAGAGAGCTGGACTTTTGGGTTATACATAATCCAAGCTGCACAAAGAATTGTTTTCTCCCTTCCATGTCTTGTTGTTTTAAAAGCTGAACTTGGAGCTAGAATTGGTTTTAAAGGTCATCTAGTCCCACTGCCCTCCCGTGAAAGAACTGGGCCTGTGTTAACGAGGGCACACACAGTGCGGGGAGTTCCTCCAACACTTGGGGCAGATAACAATATTTTAGAGAAATGTGTTGACCCCATATTTGAGCTGCTTCTATTGACCATTAAAGACAGTGAGAATAAATCTCAAATACACCATGGGAGGTGGTATCCTTGGCATTTTTTTTTTCCCTGAGGGAGAGTATGCTCCTGGGTTCCAGGTTCTCTTTGCCTCCCTGCCCATGCACACATGCGTGTGAAAGAAACGGACAAAATTGACATTTAATCCCAGTGTCTATTTATGAAAATTATCTTTAGGCCATTTTCTCAAGTTTTTCTGTTTCCACAGTAAAATCGGGCAAATTAGATGCAAATGAGGGTGGAGTTCAACCCCATCCTCAAAGCCTTTTTTTTTTTGGCTTGAGTGTCTGTCATTCCCAAGAGCCCTCCAACTGCCTTGAAGCAAGGCATGGGGGATTTCTCCATGATGCTTTCTGCCACTACTTGGCCAGACCAGTCTCCAGGGGTTTCAGAGAGTGGAGAGGCCCCAAACCTATGGAGACTACTCCCAGATGGGGGGCTTCTTGTTTCTCCAGACCCTTCCTCTTCCATTTCATATGAGGCTTCCAAGGGGCCCCTGGCCACGCTGGTCTGGGGCAGGGAATAAAGAAATGGCTTTTATTGTATCAGAGTCTCAACAGAAAACAGATGGCATACTTGAAGTAGGACATTTCAAGGAGAGTTTATTCATTAGGAAAGTATTTACAAAGAAGTGGGTGGAGGATAGCTGTTACTACCTCAAGGTCCAAAGAGGCCAGGGACAGAAGGGGTTATCAGGACTCAGAAGGACGGCAAGCCCTGTACAGTCACCACCTTGCCAAGAGCAGTGCCCTTCAGTCAAGGGGCACAACAGCTTAAGGTGACCTTGTAGGGAGGAAGCCAAGGGATTAGAAACACTGACCTCACTCCCCTCCTCCCTCTGCTCTTAGGCTGATGCTGGAAGCAAGAAGCAGCCAGGGAGCATGGGAGGCAGTTAATGCCATGCAGGTCAGCGCCTGAGGCAGACCCCAGGTGCAGAAGTATTGAGAGTGGGTCCAGAAGCACAGATGGAGGACAGGAAGCACATTCACAACAAGAAGGAAAAATGTCAATGTTGCGGGGTGGAGAGAGAGGTGCAAAAATTGGGCTTCTTTTGGCCTTGGACAACGACGAACGCATAGTAGCAACAGAAACTAAGTTTGCAGTTTCCTACTGGGGAATTTGGGAGGACACTCGCTTCTGTTCTGTCTTTCCCACTTGAAGTTTGACTGTGGTTATACTGAATTTATAGAAATTTGGGGTTAACTGACTTGTTTTTATTACTAAATCATACCATGCAAAAACAGACTGTTTTCTCATTTATTCAAATCACTCTGTTTGCTCTTTATTATGGTTTTTAAATTTTACTTTTTCATAGTAGTCCTGAGTATGCTCAGTTAATTGTTAGACATGTTATAGCTTTTGCTGCTATTGTGATTGGTATCTTATTGCAATTCTACTTTTGAATCAGTAATTTCTGATGTAGAAGAATGTACTCAATCTAAGTGTACTGCTCAGCAATGTTAAGTATATTCACATTTTTGTGCAACCAATCTCCAGAACTCTTTTTCACCTTGCAAA